CAGTGGATGGAGTGCTGGGCCTAGAATCAGAAAGACCTGAGTTCAAACCTGACCTCAAATACTAGTAGCTGTGTGATGGTAGAAAAGTCACTAAACCCCTGTTAGCCTCAGTTTCCTCTTCTGTGAAATGGGGATAATAATATTTATAGTAATAATTATTATTATATAAAATAATTTTATATTACTTGTGAAAGACTGCCTCTTCCCAACTAAATAAATAATAATTATAAAGTGCTTGTATCTGGCACATAGTAAATGCTGCATAAATGTTAGTTATTATTATTATCCTCATCATCATTATCACAGATTTAGAACTGGAAAGGACCTTAGAGATGATCTAGAGCATTTTAGAGATTTTATCTCATTTTAGAGATAAAGAAACTAAAATCCAGAAGGTCTAAGTGATTTTTCCAAGGTCACATATATATTAAGTAGCATAGCCAAGATTCGAACCTAGTTCCTCAGATTCTAGATTTTGTACTCTTCTTACAGTACTGCATTACTACCACAATAGATCTGGACCTTGAAAGAACTCAGTGGTAAAAATACCAATTTGGGGGGCAGCTAAGTGGTGCAGTGGATAGAGCACTGGCCCTGAAGTCAGGAGGACCTGAGTTCAAATCCGGCCTCAGACCAAACACTTGACACTTACTTAACTGTGTGACCCTGGGCAAGTCACGTAACCCCAATTGCCTAAAAGCAAAAAAAAAAATATACCAATTTGGAAGTCACTTACCTAGGAGGGACTACTGAAGTAATGGGAATGAGTGAGAAAGTAAAGGGAAAGAATATAAAGAAAAAATAAAAGAAGTCTTGGGACAGAGTCTTGGAGGACACTCACCTAAAGATGTCAGAAAGAGCATTAACAGGCAGAAAAAGAGGCAAAGAAGTAGAAGAGTTCAGAGAACCAGAGAAATAAATTAACTCTGAAGCTAAGAGAAGAAATAGCATTCTCAAAGGAAGAGTAATCTACCATTGTCAAATGTATGAGTAGCCAAAGGCTTTGAGGATTGGGGTGGGGAGAGGGGACTGAGACGGGGCAGACCATTGGTTTAATTATTTAGTCACTGGCAAACTTTAGAGGAACAATACTTAGTGTAATGATGGGACTAGAAACCATGATTGCATTAGACTGAGGATAGCAATGAGGAAATTGAGGTAGCGGGTGCAAATGATTTTTTTAAAAAGACATTTGATAATAAAAGACTAAGTGAAGTGAGAGATGAGATGATGGTTGAAGGTATTAAATGGATGAGAGTGACTGTGGAAAGGAAAAGGAACTTGTGAAGAAAGGAGGAATTGAAGACACATGAGAGCATAAAATTGATTAATAGAATAGAATCCTAGAGGTGGAAGGTGGAACTGGGATCAAGAAGAATGGGAAGGTGATTAATCTTCAGAAGAAGTTTGGCTACCTGTCTCTTCTGTAACTAGAAGGAAGGATAAAAAGACTGGGTGCTGATACTAAGTTTTAAGTGAAGGAAGTTAAGGTAATTTCTGCTAGATGGCTTCAGTTTTCTCGGTGAAATAGGAGGCTAAACCATCTACTATTAAGTGTAGTATGTTATACTTAAGGTTTCATGGACAGAGGGAAAACCTTGGAAAAGTTATTCAGAATAATGAAATAAAGAGCTGATAAGAGTAGAGCAGGACTGTCAGGAAGCAGCTGAGGGGCCCGCTAAGGTTATGCACCATAAATCTGCATTGGACCTCAATTCCATTATTTTCTCTAGCATGCTTAGCAATCCAGTAATTACTGTTGTTCAGTCATTTCCTCTTCATGACCCTGTTTGGGGTTTTCTTGGCAAAGATACTGAAGTGTTTTGCCATTTCCTTCTCCAGTTCATTTTACAGATGAGGAAACTCAGGCAAACAGGGTTAAGTGACTTGCCCAGGGTCACACAGGCAGTAAGTGTCTGAGGCCAAATTTGAACTTGGGTCTTCCTGACTCCGGGCCCAGCACTCTATCCACTGTGCCACCTAGTTGCCCTGCAACCCAGTAGTAAGAATAGAGAAATCAATTGCTTGGAATCCCCCTGGGAACAAATGTCCATAATGCTCAAGCTGTGACTTCCAGCCATCTCCACAGCATATCATCTATATTTCGCCAGAACCTTGTACATCAGCTACTCCTGGGACTCCAGACTCTGGAGAATGAGCTTTATTTCTTGCCAAGACCCAGGCCTTCACACATCTTCTGGCATCCCCACAACATGCTGCCAAATCTGTTTACCCTTCCTTTTCAGCTCACCTTTGTGTATTGTCTTCCCCCCATTTGAATGCAAGCTTTCTGAGGACAGGTCTTGACTTGTTTGCCTATATTTGTATTTCCAGTGCTTAGCACAATGCCTGGCACATCCTTTCTCTCTATCTATAACATACAGCTGAATGGACAGACAATAGAATTAGTCCATCAATATAACTTGGACAAAAGCAGCAGATGGACAATGAGCTGAGCCCAGAACAGAGTAGAAGGGAAAGAATGAGATAAATTGCTTTGGGAAACTGTCCAGTGCTTTCAATGATCACAAGGGGCTTGTTACATAAATATATACATACATGCACTAATAATCTTCTGGTGATGTTCTAAGACTATAAAGCATAGACCACCACGACATAAGAGGAACTAGAATTAGAAATAACTCAAAGGAAAATGTAAAGAGCATGATGGAGATAAGCAGGTTGCATCATGCAATGATGATTTGGACTAGAGAAGTAGATTAAAAGACTTTGTTAAAGGTATGTATCACCAGTAAAGGAAATAGAGCAGCTATGTAATGTCAATGAGAAACAGTAGATGGACCAGCCAAGTGGCACGCTGGAAGCCCTGGAATACAAAAGGAATACTAAAAAGAAAGGCTTCCAGTGCTAGGTGGATTCTCTATAGAAAGTGTGTGGGCAAACCTCATAAAGTTTATCCTCATAGAGTCTAGTTAGGCACAATGACATGGATGATCCCTTTCTAATAGAATAATAGGTAGGTATTTCATTCTATTAGCATGCCAGGAATATCATTGCTCCCTTATCACTTGTTAGATTAGTTGGTTTTGTTTTCGGTCCTATATTCAAAAGCAAAAAAAAAAAAACCTTGAGAATCTTAGAAATAAAATAAGAAAGAATAACACTCCAAGAAGAAGAAATTCTATTTTTTTAGCCATATTAGTTCTGTATCTATTTAAATAAAGCTATGTTTCATCAAGAATAGGTCTTCTCTGAAGGAAACAATTTGGTCTCATCATTTCATGGAATCTCACAGGAATTCTGTCAGTGACACACTGATGATACTAAAATGCCTGGATTGGTAGCACAACTTTAAAAGATACAGACACATCAAACAAAACCATAAAGTATAATGGTGAATTAGAAGTCTTTACACTTGCTTCTACTGCCACCTACAGAGCATACCCAATTCAGACTCACAGGACATCAGCTCCATTTACATAGCCCTCTGTAAACATAAAACTAACTAAATGTAGGATTTAAATCTGGAAGGGATATTAGAGATTATTTTGTTGGATGATCTCATCTTAAAAGGAGGAAAACTTTAGCTCAGAGAGGGAAAACAATTTGCTCAAGGTCACAGAGGTAGTAAGTAGCAGAATTAGTGTATGGGCCCAAATTTTCTGGCACCAAAGCTGATACCTCAGTATACCACATTACATCTGTGCTAGACCTCTAAGCCTGCTGGAATATTTCACCTATCTTGACGAAACAGGATGCAAAGGAGGGAGAGGAGATATAAAGAAAAAGCAATGCAGTCCTTGACCTTAAGTTTACAGTCCAGTAGGAAAGGTGAGAACATGGACACATACAAATATATTGTAATATAAAATAAAAGATAAATACCTAAGGAATGAAAATCAGTGAACCCAAGAGTTCTAAGACAGGGATAACTCATTAGTGATTAGGGAACCTCAGGAAAGACCACTGTAGATGGGTTACATTGGATCTGTGTCTTAGAGGATTTCTACAAAGATGGAAAGGGAAGGAATTTCAAGTACAAGGAATGGCTTTGAACAAAGACACACACACATGAAATACAGGAAAGACAGATTGATGCTCATTTGTAAAAGGCTATGATTGCCAGGCTAAGGAGCCTGACTTTTATTCAGTAGGAACCACTAAAGGGTTTTGAGCAGTAGAGTTGGCATAGTCTGGTCTGCGCATCAGTAGGATTAATCTGGAAGGGGTGTAAAGGATAGATTGGAAGTGGGGAGAGACTCTGGGCAGAGAAACTGATTCAAAGAGATTAGACCAAGTGAGAAATAGTGAGGATCTGTACTGGAATGATGATAGTGGGAATGGAAAGGAACAAAATTCTAGAGATCTTAGGGAGATAAAATTGGCAGAACTTGGCAAGTGTTTGGATAAAAGAGGTAAAAAAAAATACGGAAGATTCATCCAAAAGTTTTGACTTGTATATAAGTGGTTAAAAAATGATGATTAGGAAATAAAATCTGAGATTATACAGAAATAACGTGGTATAGTGAATAGTGAATCAGGAATACCTGGGCTTGCATCCTCCCTCAGACACTTACTAATGATATAAACCTAGTAAAATCATGTAACCTCTCTGTGTCCATTTTCCCATCTGTAAAATGGGGATAATAATAGCATCTACCTCACAAGGTTATTATGAAAATCAAATGAGGTAATATAAGTAAAGTGTTTTGTTAACTTTAAAGGGCTATATAAATGTGAGCTATTATTATGAGAATTAAGACAGATTCCCTATACCACTAAGGATTATTTCTGCATAAACATTTTATGCATTAAAGGAATTATGTCCTAGAAATCTAATTACCAAGGGCAAAAATATATATGGAGATGAGATATTGTGTTTGCAATCCTATGCTAACTTTAATTCTCAAATCTGTAATTTGACTCTTATTCTTTCTCACCTGTATCCTCCCCCCATATGGATAAGTACATCTGATAATTAATAATTGATAAGGCATTCCCATATGTTCTAGGATGTTAAGAAAAAGTAACAAACTTACATTGGTATCATGGCTACTGATTGTGTCAAAAATATCTTCATCATCTTTAATCTCTTCAGCTGGTCTCTAGAGGAAAAAAAATGGTCATGAGGTAAATACATGTACATTTAAAATGTCAATGTCCAAAAAAAAATTCAATAGAATTTGTGATATAGTATGACTTAGGGTTTTTTTTTGTTTTAATTGAAGTTGTTACCTCAACTACACATTCAGATTACAGGATGTAGAACTAGAAGAGACCCTGAAGATCATCCAATCCCACTCCCTTTCATTTTATAAAATCTGAAAACCAGGGAGATCAAGTCACTTGCCCAAAGTCACCCAGATAGTGACAGTGTCAGTATTTGAACTCAGGTCCTTGGACTTAGAATCCAAGAGGCTATTATGCATCTGGTTCTACCAAAGAATTACTGTCTGACATGAGTGTCTGAGGAAAATGTAAGAGGGAATGTATACATACATACAATAAGGCCTTAGTGAAGGTAGGATTTAAGAAGTGAACAAATGACTAAGATGATATCTTAAGAAAGAGCACTTAGCTTTCCTTGAATCATGGACCAAAATACAGAAATAGCAGGTTAGAGCTTATCCAAGGAGGGCTAAGAAGAAAGTATTTGCATGAAGATTGGTTGATGTGACTTGGAAGATGGCAAACTGAAATCGATGGGCAGAGAACAGCAAGGAAGAAGAAGACCCAGACGCAGTTGCTAAACCAGATACCACACAGAGCAACAGAATAGGGCATAAGCAGAATAGCAATGGAGAGTCTCAGTAATTCAAAGGATATAATGTTATGGAAAAACAGTAAGAACTTTTATCAGTGCAATGATCATCCATGATCATACAGAAGCATGCTCTCTACCTTCTGACAGAAAGGTGATGGATTCAGGGTGCAGAATGAGACTTTTTTTAATGTGGCTAATAAGGGGGATTTATTTTGCCTCACTATGCATATTTATTATATGGAATTTATTTTTTTCTTTTTTTACCCAATGGGGTGGGGGATGGGAGGGAGAGAAAATAGATTTATGTTAGTTTTGAAATAAAATTTAATTTGAAAAAAAGAAACAGGGGCAGCTAGATGGCACAGTGGATAGAGCACCGGCCCTGGATTCAGGACGACCTGAGTTCAAATCCGGCCTCAGACACATAACACTTACTAGCTGTGTGACCCTGGGCAAGTCACTTAACCCCATTGCCTAGCCAAAAAAAAAAAAAGAAAAAAGAAAAAAAAGAAACAGTATGGTGAAGAAAAAGAGGACCAACCTGGGAATCAAATTATCTGGGTTCAAGTCCAAAAGTTATCCAAGGTCACATGACTATCAAGTGGGGAAATCACTCCCCTCCCCTAGCCTCAGATCCCTTATCTATAAAACGAGCAAGTGGAACCAGATGGTTTCTAAGATACCTCACACCCCTAAAGGTTCTGAGCTTATTATATTATAATTGTTCATCACTAATGACCAGGTCAGTACAGGAGTTTCTGATCAGCAAGTTATAATTTAGCTATTTCACTTGGTGCCTGCTTAGGAACTCAACCAAGTAACTTTGTTCTCTTCCTCCTTTAGGCAGCATTTGCTGAGTCTTCCATCTTCTTGAAATAGTTGGCTGATTGTATTACTCTCACACCAGTCTATCAATTCTCTCCTCATTGATTTTTTCCCATCTCTCATAGCCTTGTCAGGTGTTTCTGATGGTGAGAGAATGATGATGATAGACTTTTCTGGTACAACACAATGCAACTCCCTAACTGGAGAAATGGAACTCATCTCCTCTATTGAGATAAGCCTGGTGATCCCTTAGAGCTACTGATACCTATTGTATGACCCAAGTGTTTTCTAGGAGGTAACTAATTTTGCATTTAAAAAGAAAAAGAAAAACAGCCATAACCTACAAATTCTGGATATCTGGTAATTCAAACAGGACCAAACAGAAATATAAGTAGTACATTGGTTGATTGTTATCCTTCATTCTCAAAAAGGACCAAAATGACATCACTATGTTAGAGTCAAGTTATAGTGTGTCCAATTGTGGCTGATCAGACCACTATGAGCTTGGAATGCTCTACCACAGGTCAAGCACAAATAGTCCATGTGAACATTTGGGGTGGATTCTCTAAATTTGAACATCTCACATTTCTTTTGAGCTACTTCAGTTCTGCTTTGCTCACAGAACACAGCACCTTCTTTGATGAGAGCACACTATACTGGGCAGTCCTGTGCCAGCAGGGACAGGGACAGCTCCCATGTCATGCAATCAATTCCAAAGTTCTTCAGAGAAACCTTCAGAGTGTCCTTGCATTGTTTCATCTGACCTCCTTCATGTCAGCACTTGCCTTGTGAGTTCTGTCAAATAATCTTATAGGCAAGCATGCATTTGGCATTTGAATAACGTGGCCAGCCCATTGGAATCACACTCTCGGTAGTAGAGTTTGAATGCTTAGCAGTTTAATTCAAGAAAAGACCTCAGTGTCTGGTATTTGATCCTGCCAGGTGATCTTCAGACTCTTCCTAAGACAATTCAAATGGAATGGATTCAGTTTCCTACCATGGCACTGGTATACTGTCCGGGTTTCTCAGGCATATATCAATGAGGTAGGCATAATGGCCCTGTAGACCTTCAGTTTGGTAGGCAGTCTAATACATAACTTCTGTGAGAAGGGGGAGTCTCTGTTATTTAATGCTTATGTGATTGTGGGAATGTCATTTAATGTTCCCCACCTCGGGTTCAGTCTCCTCAGCAGAAAGAAGGAGCTGACCTCAATCTCTAGGAAACCTTTTAGCTCTCACTCCTTTGATTAAGGGAGGTAGAGTATTAAGTGTAACAAGTCTTGGACCTGAAGTGAAGAGACACTTGGTTCTAAATCCTACTTCCAGTACTCATTAGCTGGGTGACCATAAGCAAGTTACTTAACCTTTATGACACTCACTGCCCTGAAGCCAACCTGGTGATGATGAGACTCCCTTAACTCAGCTAGACTTGTTTTCAGACATAACATACCAGCACTGAACCAACACTTAAGATTTTTCCATGTTAGTAGTATCTAGCAGCACTTACACTCTTCTTTCATAACCTTCAACCCAGGCTTCTATCTGCCTGTACCACAGCTTCTTAATCTGTAAAATGAAGGAGCTGAACTAGATGGCCCCCGTGCTCCTTTTCAGCTCCACATGTATGATCCTCTGTGACCGGAAGGCTTAGAAGTCCAATGTTAGTGGAAGCTTCTTAATATTAGGGGAAGGTAAGCTAGTATCACAGAAGGTCATAGCCTTAAGGACCATCTAGCCTGATTCCCCTCAGTTTGCTATTTTGAGGAAAATGAGGGCTCACAACGTTTAGTAACTTGCCTAGTGTCACACAGCTAGTAAAAGGCAGAGCCACAATTTGAATCTAGTTCTTCTGACTCTAAGTCCCATGCTCTTTCTTCCACACAATACTGTTATTAAATAAAAACTAAAACTAAATGTCAATGCTTGAAGAGAATAAAAGCAGAAATAGCAACCGATGACATAATCTGCCTATATGAGTCTATGATACTCTATACATCAAACAGTAATGATTATAGCTTGAGGGGAGAGGGAGGAGAGTAAGGAACCCCATATCAAGGCCAAAGACAGATGAAAGACTAAAATAAACTGTTCTTCAGAAAGTTTTTTTAAAAGTGTAAAAGAATACAGCAGCTCAGAAGCAGATAAAATTAAAGGCCAAGTATAATCAAAATCAAAGGAGATGATGGTGGAAAAAAATATTCCTATCATATAGCAGCAAAAAGACTCATTCCATCCTGATTTTATAGCCTACAGTTTCAATCCCTAACAACTTTTCCATTTTGCTTTCATTACATTTTCTAGGAAAACGAGATTTGTACTCCATCCACCAAACAAAAAGGGACAAAAGGCCTTTAGTGTCTTTGAAGTCTTAGCACTGTTTGTTAGATGAACCACCAAGATCACTCAGTTAATGTAAGATGTAATTTTTCTAAGAACAATCTGTACTCTCTCCATCATGGTGCCTTCTTCCTCAACTTATTATGAGCCTAAAAGTTATGGGATTCTTAGAGCCCTCACATAATCAGGTGCTCATGTTAATTTATTTAGGAGTTTTGAGTGGGGAGGGGTTTACAGAATAAATTCATTTTCAGGGAATGGCTTTTTAGGTTTTTTAATTTATTTATAGAATTTTTTTATATCACCTTCATTTCCAAACATATTCCTCCCTCCTTCCTTACCTAAAGAGCTAAGCTATCCCTTGTAATAATAAAAAGTAGTAATTAAAAAAATATTAAATACAAATATCACAATATTAGTAATCGCAATATTTGCATTACTCTGCACCCTAAAGTCCCTCACCTATGCAAAGAAAGAAAGGAGGTGTGTTTTCTCATCTCTTCTTTGGGGCCAAGTTTGGTGATTATAATTACACAACATTCAGTTTAATAGGTTTTTGCTCCTTCCATTGATATTAGTACAGTAATGGACATTGTTTCCTGGTTGTGCTTAATTCATTTACTTTGCATCAATGCGCATCTTCCCATGCTTCTCTGTACTTTTTCCATAGTCATCCTTTCCTATGGTAATAATATTCCACCCCATTCCTGTACCACTATTCATTTAGTCCAAACAAAGAGCATCATTTTGTTCCTAGTTCTTGGTTACCACAAAAAATTACTGCCATGTGTATTTTGTTATATATGGGGCCTTTCTCTTTGACTTCCTTATGCCTAGCAATGGGATTTAACTGACATTAAAAAAGAGACATTACCATCTGTTTACTTCACCCTAAGAACCATAGGATCTTTCCATCTGGCTTGTAGATGAAACCCTTCTATGAATATATATACTGTCTCCCCCATTACAATGTGAGCTCCCTGACAGTGGAGGCTGTCTACCTTTCTATTTGTATCCCCACTGCTTAACACAGTGTTTTACACAGAGTAAGAACTTAATAAATTCTTTATTCAGTTATTCATTCATTCTGGGTCAAGAGTATGAATGGGATTGGCTTTTAATACTAGGAACTCTCAAGTGTTAGGGCGAATCTTCCAAAAATTGTGAGGAAAGCAAAGG